TCCCTGCCTGCACCTTTCTTCCCTTAAGGTCCCCACTCTTCTTTTCTTTTCCTAAAGCCTGTGTTGTAAAACAGTTCTTCCAGAGATATTTGGGGAATCACAAGTAATTCAGTAATTCAGTCCCGTGATTTCCTTGTTGAAAAGCTGACTGATGGATGGGGACACATGAATCTTTTCTTAAGAGTGGACTAACTCACCTTTATCCTTTTAGGTTTGCCTTGCTGTCAGGCTCCCAGGTTCTGTAGAGACTGCAGACTTCTGCACTTCCCTTCCTGCCTCTGGGAAGTGTAAGGGGCTAGTTGGAAAAAGTGGACCATGGAAAGAGATGGAGCAGCCAGAGGAGTTAAGATGGAAATGTACTATTGAACTGGGCAATTGTAATAGTGGATAGTCCACAGACATCAACAAGAACAACAACAGAGCTTTGGTTAGTGTTTCAATAGAAAACAACTTCCATGTCGTGTTTTTTATGAGGTTCTGAATCCTTAGATTGGACATACTTGTTTTTTTTTAAACATTTTTACTTATTTTAGAAGCACTCTTATTTACTTATCCATCCCCCCATTCCCTATCCCTCCCATCCTCCCATGCTCCCCACCAACCCCCCAATCCACCTCCCACTCACTCCCCAGGGATAGTGAGGCCCTCCATGGGGGAACCATCAAAGTCTGTCACATCATTTGGGGGAGGGTTCAGACCCTCCTTCCTGTATCTGGGCTGCAATAGTATCCCTCCACAGGGAATGGGCTCCCAAAGTCCATTTGTGCTCTAGAACACTGGTTCCACTGTTAGAGGTCCCATAGACTACCTTGGCTTTGAATGTTAACGTGTCATTTGGTAACAGAAAGAATTGTTAAATACAAGGAAAATTTGCATTTCAAACATACTTATGACAGTGACAATAGAAAGTTTCATTGACTTTTATTGCAAAAGACTTATAGATGCAGACAATTATATAAAATGTAGTTAGTCCCTCCAGTAAAATTTTGTAAGTAAAACCACAACCCAAGAAGAGAAATGGGAAATGAGGGTACCCAGAGGCCCTGGTAGGCCCTTTGCTAATCAAATGCCTTCCTTTTATTATAATCAACTTCCTTACTATGCTTTGCTTCATGTTTTTGCTGAGCATACAGTCTTAAATAACGTAGTTTAGTCCTGCCTGTTTTGAATTTCATATAAATTAAATTATACAGTGTATAATATTTTGGCCTGTTTCTTTCACTCAAATTAAGTTTTTGAGATTTATTTGCTATTGGAGACTCTTTCGTAGCTGTTTGTTTTTTATTACCCTGTGGTATTATTTTATAAAAGTATACCTTGATTTATCTCCCACTTTGCTGACAGACATTTGGGCTGTTTCCAGGTTTTTTTGTTGTTAGGTTTTAGGTTTTGATGTTTTCCGAGGTCTCACTGTATAGCTCAGGATGGCCTCAAACCTACTATGTAGCTCCTGAGTACTGGGATTATAGGCATGTACCACCAACCTTGACTTGTTTCTAGGTTTGGTCTTAACTAGGAATATATGTGCAAAAGTGTCTCATGAAAGTGAGATTGATGTTCAAAAGGGATGCACATTTTAACTCTTACATGATGTAGGTTTTTCTTTTCCATTTATGCCCCTACCAGTAGGGCATGAAAGTTTTCATTTTGTTTTTGTGTTTGTGGGTGGGGGTGGTGTTGAAGCCAGAGGTTTATGTTGGGTTACCTTTCTTATTCCTTGCTCTGTGTTACCCTCTTTGACAGGGTTTCTCTCTGAACCCAAACCTTGGTGTTTCAGCTAGACTGGCTAGCCAGCTTCATGGATTCATCTCTCTCTGACCCCCAGTGCTGGGGTTGCAGAGACCAGCTGTTTGTGCTGGACCCGAATTTTTGCAGCAAGGACTTTACCGACTGAGATGTCTCCAACATTAAGGGTTATTTTTATTTGTTTTTGTGGTACTCGAGTCTGAGCCTAGAACTTGGTGCAGCTAGGCAAGTGGTTCACTGCTGAGATATATTCCACATCCCCAAACCACAGTATTATGGAGTTTTTCCTGATATATTTTACTTAAACATTAAAACTTAAAAATTTCTGTTTACCAACAGTTGAATGCCATTCCATGCATATTCACTTATTTAGATTCTTCTTGTTATGGAGTCTGTTCAGGACCTTTGCCTATTTTTCTATTGTAGTGTGTGTTTTTGTGTTGGTTTGTGGAAGTGGGCTCTGTATTACAGTTACAACCTTTCCTTGCCTTCTTTCCCCTTACAGCAGAACATGGGCAAGAACACTCTTATGCCATTGCTTTATTAGGGACTGAAATCCCTGCAAAAAGAAAGCAGAGCAGGAGAAACCCTGCTTAAATGATACAGTGCTGAGCAGGTGGCCACTAGGTGTCACAGATTTCTCAGAGTCAGAGAATTGTTCTATAAGAACAATCAATGATCTGCCAGCCTCTCAAGACCTCATTGAAGGAGAACAGGGAAGCACCTGCCTGTGACTGCCTGCTGTTGGTCTCTCCATAGGCTGTTAACTACCACACACTTCCAGGCTGTGTGTACATGTGTGAGTACTGGGTGGGATTTTCTTGTCTGATAGCAACAGAGACCAAAGCTTTTGGTCAGAAAGAAAACACCATGTGGGGGGGGGGGTCACCCCACATTCCTGCTCCTCCATTGTCACTGTACATCAGAAACTAGTTCCTTGGAATGTCATCCCCACTCTAGCACAAAGGTCCCTGCTTGTACCGCTGGAAGCTAAAATCCTGTTTCTCTGAGATTTATGTAAATGCAGACACATAAAACCAACAGGAATATGCTGAGTGGTGGTGGTGCATGCCTTTAATCCCAGCACTTGGGAGGTAGAGGCAGGTGGATCTCTGTGAGTTCAAGACCAGCCTGGCCTACAAGAGCTAGTTCCAGGACAGCCTCCAAAGTCACAGAGAAACCCTGTGGACTTTGGAAAAAAAACAAACAAAAAACACAAA